TCTCTACCTCACCACTCAATGCATAGATGCTTCCTCCTCCTGAGGACATATGGAAATGCAGATACAGGGTGGGATAGGGCAAGGGGGAAGAGCTGAATACCTACAGAAAGTATAGCGATAGGAGAGAACGGTAGAAAAATATTCTGTATGGTTGCCCTGGTGCTTCTTTTAGTCTGGGGCTCATTCAAACCAACTCTATCTCCTTGCTGAGGACCTGTATCTCCTCTTCAGAGGGGCAGCAGTGGCTCAGGGGTCTTGTAGGGGAATAAAGGGGATTTTTAAGTGCAGGATCATAGTACTGAATCTGTATTTGACAAGGAGCACTGATAAGAACATAGAGCTGAAGCTGTCAGAGATCTGAGGAAGGCAGATGAGATGAGGTGGAAGGATGGGCAAAGAAGCAAAGGATTTCTATTCTGAGGATGTGCATGTGATATGTCGAAGAGGGGCTGAGCTTGAGGCTTAGTGCTGATGTCCTGCATAACATCTTACTCTGCGGCATTCAGAGGGAGTTTGTGTGGGTCCAAGATGGCACGTTGGCATATTTACATCTGCAAATATTTCTTAAGGAGAATAGATTAAAAAATGGATGTGTTACGAGTTGACTAGAACATGCTGCTCTCTGAGCCTAGTATTTATAAATTAGAGCTATAAAACAAGTGCATCCTTTTTCCATATAGATTTGTGTTCTTATGAAAGCCTGATGAGTAGCATAGTGTGTAGGAGAGGTGCTCTGCTTGGACTCTATGTGGCAATTGTCCAAGATGGTTAGAATTCTGCCTCCTGCAATTGTTCTTATCTGCAATTGGATATGTTGTGTGGCTATGAGCAGCACAGTGTCTTCTGGATCATCCTGTGAGGAGATGTAGGTCCATTCTACGTTACTTTGTATGGTATCTAGGAAATACGAGAAATACAGCTCTGTGAGGGACATGCCTGGTGAAATAACTGAGCCAGATGTGCCTGCTAAAGGGAAGACATTCTGCAGCTCCGCATGATTGACTGAATCTGTTTCCAAAATTTGTTACAAGGATGGCCACTCACTATACAGTAGTATCTGCTTTTTTTACATGACCAGAAGCCCTTGGAAAATGGAGTGATCACTAGGCCTTTCCAAGAAAGCCTTGGCCATTATCAGAAATGTATTCTAAAACAGGACAAGCATAGGCAAATCCCACATAAGAGTAATATTGATTTGTAATGTCTGCTACCTTTTGAGTGGCTTTTGGCTTGTCATTTTTGAGCTGTCTGAGAAAGTCCTTGCACAGAGGACATGTTCTCCAGGGCTTGTGGGGACATACAACTTTAAGATGGTTTGTCAGGAGCCAGCAGTAGGCAGTTGTGTTAAAGAGATGTTCCCCTTTCTCCTGCAGAGTGGCCTGTCAGTAAATGCTGAATGAAGTGGGCATCTAGGCTCTGAGCAACTGCTGAAAAACACACGGCAACAGGAGTAGAAGGAGCTAAGAAAACATGATGAGTAGAAGCAAGGACAGACAAAAGCCTTGCCAGAGCTGTGTCTCTAAAATTACTGGTGATGAAAGGGAAGACTTGCATGGTAACTGACTCTAAACCTGCAAGCAGAATGAAAAGAGCTGCTGGAGCAGCTCCTGTGCTGGGGCATGGGCTGTTCTTGGGGGTTTCAGCCATAGCATGAGTTTACATTTGAAGAGAGTTGGGAGAGTATAAATAGAGTGATCTGGCAGCCAGTGCAAATTCAATCTGTGGTTTTGAACCACAGCATTAAAAAGACAAAAAAATCAAGAAGGTTTGTGAAAGATGAAGAGATGAAGACTCTTTCTGGTCTTTCTGTCAATCTAAGAGTTTAAGGCAGTCCCTGGTAAACAGCAAGATGGTGGTAGGATGCAACAAAACTCTGTGGGTGATGGGGGAGAGATCACAAACACAGGAGTATCCATGGTTAACCTTGGATGAGTACTTTGAATTTCCCCAGCAGAGGAATTGCTAAGTTCAGAAACACAGCAGGTTTGGTGAGGAATCCAACATACTGCAAAAGGAGAAGTCTGCAGAAAGTGCTCTGGCCACCTTTCTGATCAAAGTCAGCACCCACCAGAAACGGCACAGGGAACTCCTGACGTTGCAACAAACAATAACCAACTCAGGGCTGACATTTGAGAAGAGAGTGTAGGAACTGCAGTGCTGTGCTTTACTTTGCAAACGCATTCCCAATATAGTTAAAGAAGATGCCAACATCATTAAAACTGGGCAGCTCTTTCTATCTGAAAGGATTGTTTTGCAGTAGCAGATGATTTTGTTCTTAGTCTCAAAGCAAGTGGGATACTTCTTGAAGTGGGAGTACGTTAGACTGATGCCAGAAAAAATGACATTAGCCTTGAAAGAAAAACTAATGGAAGGAAGTGGTAAAGTAGGGAAATTCAGGACGTATGGGGGTGAGTTAGATTTTGGAGGGGAGTAACTGAACTAAAAGCATGGCTGAAAGCCCAGTAAACTTGAGAAGAAATGATCTGTTGTTCTAGAGTTAAAATCGGTTAAGATGAGATCTCTTAAAGATGCCATGTGAGGATATTTTCCAAGGATGATGGAAGCTGCCTGGCTATAGGGTAAGGTAGGAGGAGCCGAGTCAGATGATGATTCATGATCCTAGAAGATTCCCTTTTGATGTTAAGTGAAGATTAGAGTAATTCAAAAGGTTTATTCATCTGAGAATCATCAGGTGGTAAAGGGAAGTGTATAAAGCTGGACACACAGACTCTGAAAGAATAAATAAACGTTTAAAAATAGATCAGTTCCTGCTACTGCAAGAGGAGGAATTCTAATATGGAGGGTATGAACATTTAGATAGTGGAGATTTTGAGCTGCATTAAAACTTCATAAATCTATTGTTAGAGGATCTGAGAAGAACCAGAACCAAATGACATACTTGGAAGATTTGTTAATGTAGGTAGATCACAGTATCACCCCACGGACAAGGAAAAAGAAGTAAGATCCTTGTGGGAAAATCTGTGTCTCATTTATTTCAGCAGCATGGATCTTGACAGCACTTCTAAGCAAAGATGTACAGTTAATATGAGATGAGAAACTGAAGATTATATGTGCATAATTTAAGGATTTAAAAGAAACTTGGGAGGGGCCAAAGAGGTTTTATCCTGGGCATCAAAGAGCAGTGATATTGAAGAGGCTGCCAAAGCTTTTCACAGACATAGCAAAGATGTAGGCCAGGTCAAGTGAAAAAGTTAATGGTACAAGAAAGTTGGCCCCTTGCAACAAAATAGCCACTCATCTTTTCATATTACCGGTGGAACAAAAATTAAACAATACAGTATGTACTTGTCCTAAGCTATTATTCTCACTTCAAGTGAACCTTGTTAGAAGACAGTCCAGCTAAGTAGGTGATCATGCATACTAAATTTGGTTTTCCACACCTGGTACACCTGACATAGTAACATCTGACAATAGGCCACCTTAGCAAGCATGATTTTTAAGTATTTTGCATGGATTTTGACATGTAGCTGCAAGTTTTTTTCATCCATGATTTAACAGATGTTATTACTAAAGTAATGAACAAAGTGAAAGAGATGGGAGAGGGGATGTAATTTGGTCTTTATTAAGCTCTTACATTGCAGCATGGTAACAGTTGAGTAAGGGGTGCTCTCTGCAAGCTTTTTTGTTCAACAGATGTCAGGATTCCAGAAGTGAGGTCAAAGCCATTTGGGATTTGAAGTTAGTTATGCAAAGGGACCAGTAAGCCAAACTGAAAAGTTCAACACATTTGGGGTCTGAGAAGCTTCCTTACTTCATGAAAATGGTATTATTGACATACATGCTGGAGAAGAAAAGCTACAGGTAGGTCTGGTGAAACAGGAAAATATTCTGTTTAGGAAACTGTCAGGTCAAGTGGACACATACGATGGAAGATAGGTGACCTTCTTCATGTTCCGTAATGAAATGCAAAGAATTGGTCATTTTGCTCAGCAGGCTTGAGATGAGTTACAGCCAGGACAGGAGAAAGAGATGTTGCCTTGGCCACAACATGACTGATACGCTCAATGCTGCTCCACATGCAGGTCTCAAAGGGGCAAAAGCTGGCTCATCATGGGTCGCCTCAGAGAGCAATGCAATGTGCTTATTTGAGTTGGCAGTGGACAGGTTATAAATATGCAAAATTTGATATTATCTTGATATTTGTTAATTGCTGTTATTGTGACACTTGTCTGGAAAAGGAAGATTTGAGGGCCCATGCCTTTGATGGATGCTGAAATAAAGCCAGTTAAAACTGGTCCTTCTCCTGACCAAGGGCTCATTTTGCTCTATGCATATCTGAGGAGAACTGCCATTTCAGAGTATATAAAGCAGCTCTATGCCATTGGTTGTGGATGATATCTATCCCACTTGGGACAAAATTTCTGAGTGTGACCTGTCATGATAACATAATATCCTTTTCGGTAATCTTTGAGAGATAAGAGTTTTGGTGGAGAAGAGACTGGATTTTTCTCTCAGTCTGGATATGGTTCTTGCCTGAAGATCTGTGGTGCAGGAACATGAGCAGAAGCTTTTGCCTTTTGATCCATGTCTTGCTTTTCACTTGGTTTTCTAGTACTTTTGCTCTGGAATTTAGACCATAATGTCCCTGTTCCAATCCCTGAATAGAGGATTGAAGCACTACAAATTCAAACTCCTCATGATGGCCAAGGCTGTTATGGACTGACCTATTGGGATGTTGGTCTCCCAGCCTGGGGAGGTGGCTTTTTTAATGCTCTTAGGCTACACCTGTTAGAGGTGTTGAAATGCCAGTTCCAGGTACACGTTGCTGTGTGTTTCCTCAAGCAGTCAGCAGATACGGGGAAGAAATAGCACAGATCTTGCATACACCTGTCATATGACTTTTCTCTCTCCATTTTATCCACTTTACTGGGCCCTTGTCATGAGATTTTTTAATTTTTTTTTTAATATGGGCAATGGGATGGAAATCAGAAAGGAGGAAACAAAAAAGGAAAAAAAAAGAAGGAAAGATAAGGGGAAACTTTTTCCACATTCCAATAGTTAATTCTTTCTTTTTTGAAGCCAGTGTTCCACAAAGGCAAAGGCAGGTAAAAGGACACATTGCATGAGAATATTGGGTTTCCACCATAATATATCACCAGGCAAGATTTGACTTGTGTGAATGTGAGTTGAGGAATTTTAACTGCAGGTTTCTCTACTTCTGTGTATGGAAAGGGGGGAAGCAAGTATGCTGTTAGTATTTTTCTTCCAAGCACAGTTTTACATACAGTGTTCCAGGATAGAACCAAATAGGGTCCGCTTTTCCTTTGCACTACACCCTATAATTATTTGAAGCATGCAGTGAGGTCTGGGGGCTTGCAATGTGGAGGAGGGTGCAGGGGATGAGCAAGAGATGCTTCAGCCGCAGAGGGGCCTGGAGGCACAGATTCGCAGAGCGCGGTTTCCATGGCAGTGCTATGGAAACCAGGTTCTGCCGCTCACTGCTGCTCAGGGTGGAATTTCAATGCTTCACACAGCCCTGGTACCCAAGAAGTAGCAAACCCGCAAACAAAACCTCAGCAAACCTGTAGGTGCCTCATCAGAGTGCTGTTTCTCCATCAGCCCATACGCTCTGCCCACCACCGTGGGGGAGGAAAATTTGAGCAGGCCAAAATCAGCTTAGATAAAATTGGAGCTTGTTGCACACCTGTGTCCCAGCCTCCAGCTGTGCCCCTCAGAATAGTTTTGGAGGTTCAAAGAAGTTTGGTCAGCTCTAGGATTTTTGATCTGCTGTTATATCTGTGCTACTAAATGCAGCTTGGGAGCTGAGAGGCTGCATCACAAAGAGTGGGGATGCAGAGGGCTGCTGAAAAACCAAAGCAAGAAAAGATCCCTTCTGCTCTTGGCTCATCTCTGAACCACTTGGTTTCCCAATGCCTCAGTTTGCATGTCTGTAGAACAGAAATGATTATGATATGTATTTACTTCCCCAGGGGACAAACAAGTTTGGCCTCACTGGTGAGTGCAAACAAGCACTTGGAGGATTTGGCTTACTGTGAAACTTAGTTGGTTAGTGTTTGTAAAGTAGTTGGAGGCACTTTGATGAAAGTGGTTTGAAAACTGCCAAATTTTGCCAGTTTCCAGAACAACAGTCTGTAAACAGTTGTACTTTAAGCATATAAAGGCCTTACTCTCATGGTTTCCTCTACTCTATCTCTCCTGGAGGACGAAGCACTGACACTGTGGTGCTGTAGCACACAGACTGGAATGTAGCCATTTTATAATATCAGTGCTGTGCATGAGGTCTGAAATACAAAAACATCCCTTGCATAGCTGGGAGAAGGAAAACAGCAAAAAGAGTTGATCTTTGATTTTACAACCTTTCAATGCTGGATGACAGCACTGAAATCTGGTCATCAGTTTAGCTTACTTAAAATTTGCCTGTGATTTGCCTGGGATGGTGGTGAACATGTTACCGTGTCCACGTATCTTTTGTCTGGGGCGTTCAGTCAGAAAAGGACATAGGATATAAACTCCTATCCTATCTTGTTCCATTTCTGTATCAGCGGCACCAGGAACTCCTGGCTGGTACCTCCTAGAGAAGGGCAGGATCCTGGAAGCATGCTGGTGGCATCCTGCTGCCCTCTATGAGCTCTTCCTTCAGCCACTCAGGCAATTATGGCATACTGTGATGGGTCAGAAGCACAGCGTATGCCTGCACTGAGGCAGTGGTTTTTGCGTGTGTACCTCCTATGGAACTGAAATGCTCACAGCAGCCTATGACAGCATGGATGTGCAAAGTCATAACCCCATGGTTTGAGATGCTGCATGGTACTGGGGAGGAAGCAGGGAGGGAAATGCAGTGCTGGAAGCCCCACACGTGAGTCCCCTGATCTGCTTGTTGCCCAGGGGAGTGCTCCCAGCCTGGCTGCATTCCCTTAGTGCTCAAAGCATGCCAGGCAGGGGAGGCACAGCACCTCACAGCCTTGGAGGGCTGTCAGGGTGATGGTAATAGTAAGCGATAACTTGCTGCAAGAGCTGCCAGCCTTATAAATACCAAGCCTATGGCTGTAACAACAGGATGGGCCTTAGTCATATGTTGGGGGGAGGATTTTGGAGGATCCTTGGGGGCTCCTGGTTGCATTGTCAGAGTAGCACCCCCTGCGTGCCAGTGATGCGATCATAGCCAGGGCTGTGTCTTACCCCAGGAGCTGCCTTCCCTTGGGAATCAGCTGCCCCTCTCCCCCTGCGGAGAAATTGTCTTCTGCTTAATAAACGTCTGCTTGTAATATTCTGAAACAAGGAGGCTAATCAAAGGCCCTGTTCCGTGGAATAGGGATGCTAAGTGACAAGATTAATTTCAGTAATCAAGCAGCTTAATTTGGACGTTTTTTTTTTCCCCTTCTCTTTTCCGTTGCTAATGGAAATTGAGGCAAATCTCATTTTGGAAAGACACTCCTTCCCTGCCTGGTAGCACCACTCTCCAGTTCTGGAAATGGTTGCATAGGGACGGGAGGAGGGAGAAGAGAGGACTGGGAAAGGGTCACAAAGGACAGTGTCAGGGAAGGTGTATGGACTGCTACTGCTGATGTTTCTCAACCATCTTCCTTCTGGAAAGCTCCCAAAGTGTTTTATAGGCTGCACTGCAAAGGCTCCAGTCAGCACTGAAATGCAGTCATCTTGTCTGGATTGCAGCAAGTCTTTGGAAGGACATGGAAATCTGACAGTTTAGGAGAAGGCAGGCGAGCAGGTAGCTGTGATAGCACTGAAGGGAAATGGTTAGATGGAAGCCTGTGCAATGGGATGGGACTTAGCCGAAATACACCTGTGGCTGGAAGGTCTCACTCTAGCAATTAAAAAAGAATTAACCTTCATCCTCCAGTGAAGCAGAGCGCTGAGGGCCCTTTTCCCCACTCAGCTGGGTGCTGCCAGCACAGCTTCCTGCTGCACTGGAGCGCAGCGTCCTCCCCCTGCCCACCACCGCCTCTCTGCCCCCGGCCTCCCCATGGGACTCACTGATCTCTGATGTCACAGTCAGCTGAAGGCGTTTGTCCCTGAGCGACTCAGGAACCTCTGCACTGCCCCTACTCCTGTGACAGGGGGTGATGGAGAAGATTGGGAGAACACCCCAGAAATGTGCTTGGTGCTGAGGCAGGAAGATCTGGGTCCCTGCTGCTGCCTCTTGAAGAGACCCTTCCTCTGCCGTCACAGTTGAGACAGAGAACAGTTCCCCAGGGGATGTTGCAAAGCTTAGGATTGGGTAAAGCCCTGGCAGGTTGTTATCTGGGGGCAGTTTTGTGCTGACCTGAAGGGTTAGGTGTGTGTGTGGGCAAGAGGGAGAGGACAGTCTAATAATAGCTATTTACTCATTCCGACGCCTGTGATCTGAGGAAGCCTGGACAGGCACCCAGTGGCGTGTGACAGAGCCCTCCAGAGCGAGCCGAGTGGGTTTAAGGGAATGACGTCCTTGCCTGAGGCAGTGAGGTTTCAGGTCTGGCAGCTTTCCATGCCAGCCTCTCCGATCCCCCCATCAGTGCTCCTCTGGTGCTGGCACCTCTCTCATGCCCCCCTTCCCTTTCCTTCTCTGTGGGGGGTATCTTTAACTTGGCTATACCTCCTGCCGTCTTCTGGCTATCGATTTTTTGGAGACAATTCGTGACGTTCCTGACCCCCCTTCCTTTCCTTCTCCTCCTTCCCTTCTCCCTCTCCCTCCCGCTGACTTGTTATTATGTACTGCAGCTGCCCGGAGGATTTTAAATAGACCCATAATCGCACAGCAGCTCCTCTTGGAAGTTTAAATATAACCTCCTTGTTAATCTCGCGTGTGGCAGCAACACAGCACCTGGGGAAGGGAGTAATGGACAGGCGCTAACCCACGGCTATACATGACGACTGGGAAGACTCACCATTTTTTTCTTCATTCCCTCTGCCTCGAAATTATCAAGTAATCGCCTTGTTTGTTTTAAACAGAATATCTCTAAGGCCGGCACAAGATGTCAAATGGATGATTTTTGCAGCACAGAATTCTTAATAGCCATCCCAGGTGCAGCACAAATGAAAGCGGCCCACAGCCACCTCCCATTATGTCCTCAGCTGCAAGAAAGTCCCACCGGGAGGCAGAGTGCAGCTCAGACCTTATCCACCCTTTGCTTCCCTGCAGAAGCATGCACATAGGACTGACGGAGGTGTTTTGGACAGATGGGGTATCAATTATCAATAGGTAGCTGGGCAAAGATCCTGCATTTGGGTTTTTATTCTCAAAATGGCAATGGGCTCATCTCAGTCTCATTTCTAGCTCTCCAAATAACTAAGTTACCCCTCAGAATGGAGTGTGGTTTGCTGAACATCATAGTTCGGTGACACTACAGAAGAGATCGCAATTAATAATGGATTTTCCCAAAGGACCTGTTCTAAAAGGGCAAATCTAGCGCTCACCAGCCCATTAAACGTGCAGAGACACTTTCAAACAATAACTGTTGCCTGTTGCTTTAGGCTAATAGGATCCCTACTCTTTCTGCATCCCAAATGCAGCCATCTTCTTGTAAAGAGGGATCGGAAGTGCACAAGGGATGCTGTCCTAATTGGTTCTTGTGCTGCAGTTTGTTTGGTGGAGGATTTATCTGTCTGTTCAGAGATGTGGGCTATGTTTCCTCTAGTCTGTTGTGCTGGTATGCACCAGGAAGGCTTTGTTGCTTCTCTACTTTAGTTTTCTCCTCTGTTAAAAAAAATAAAAAAGAAATGAAAAAAAAAGGGGGGGAACTGACATTTAATTCATTTTGAACAGTGCTATAGAAAAACTGAGTATTATTATCTAAATACTGAGAATAAAAAAAAAATAGTACTATTGATGCTAAATTATCCATCCATTTTAATAATCCAGCCATAGTAATTGCTAGAGCTGGGGGACTAATTCACAACACATAATTTATTCAGTGAATTTAGCTTCTTTTTTAGGCTCATGGAATATCAATTGTGCAGATCATAATTTCCTCAAATTTATTTGAACTTACTCAGTGAACTTTTTGGAAAATATTTACTCTGTGGATTGATACAGGCTGCATTACTTAATTATGGTTGGTCAGAGAGCACTATCTGGTATTGTTTCTGTTCCCTTGTTGAATGAGCACACAAGGACTTCTGGCTTGAATACTTGCATATGAACATGGAAGATGTACTGCAAGTTTTTGCACATTTCCATTCATGAATATGCAGGTAGAACTTGTATACAGGAGCACTGATGGCAAACAAACAGAGACAAGCTGGGTCTAAGCAATTTTACATTAAAAATATGAATGAAAAATTTTGAAGGGCCTAAATTACTAGGACAAAAGTCTAATTTTACACCAAAGTAACTTGGTCCTTGGTAAATGGCAATAATGGTGTGTTGAATAAGAACCCAATAATTTACCTCTTTGCTTCTTTCTGCTGCTCAGTGCCATGATTTCCTATAGTAATGTAGTACCCAGCCTGGATCTGTTTTATATGAAGACGGTTTTTTATTATTATTAACTGACTGTATTCGTGTGATACCCACTGTAAGTGTGGTTATGTCCCGCAAGGGGTAGTGCCTGTTTGAATGGGGGACCTGATTGTCTTGCTTTGACAAGTTACCCATCTCTGACCTGAATCCCCTGCTCTCACCTCTCACATCAGAAATGAGATGAAGTGTAGTCTCTTTCTGAATCTGAAGCTTTCTAAACCTGAGAATGTTAAACATTTCCAAATTTCTGGCTCTAGCTTATGGTTGTAGGAGTGTGAAGAATTAGGTTCATGAGGACGTTTGTGCCTGCTTATGAGTAGTATAATCAATGCAAAGTGGAATGTGGAACATGTAGGAAGAATGGATAGCTTTGACAACTATGCTAATAGAAATGGTTTGAAAAGCACTAGTGTGAAATCCAAAGATGTGCAAGTAGAAGGATCTACAGTGCTTGGTTTGGAGCCACATGGTGGAACCCATGCTAGATCTGAAGGATTTGAGCAGGGAAAACTGTTCGGAGAGTGAAGCACTAACATACTTCTGTTTCTTCTAACTGGTCTGGGTGACTTTGCACAGTCCGCTGGTCTGTGTGGGAAAACCCTTTTTTGCTCCTATTAATTGATACCCAAAACAATGTGATAATCAGTTGGAAGTAAATGAAGAAGAGAAAAAGTGGGAGAGTTATTTACTGGTGTGATGACTGAGCTTTCGATATGAGACATCAGCATAAAAGGCAATTATGCTTCTAGGGGCCAGGCAGAATATTCTCTGCCAAGGCAGAGAAGTATCAGTATCAATATGAAAGATTCTACTGTAATTTCCTCTGGGTAAAATTCTGTGTATAATTCCAGTTATCCCAATTAAAGCAAAAGAAGCTGGAAAAGTAACTGGTTAATCAGAGAAGGGAAAAAATGTTTTACAGGAGGAGTCTAAGACTATGTGGCTTGTCTAACCTGGCAAAAGGCAGGATGGAGGAATATAAAAGACTGCCTTCCATTAAAACATGAGCGGGGGAAAACACTTAGGCAGTAGGAGAGCTCTTTAACTCAAAGAGCAACTGCATATTAACTGGTCAGGAACAGGCTCCATCCAGTCATCAGTATAGAGTGATTCTGCCCCAACTTGCAAACAGTGCAGGGAAAGCAGGGAGCCTAACTCCTCTTCAGCAAAGGCATGACAGGTTCCTGAAAAGAGTAATATGGAAAGGCTGTCTGGAAGAGCAGGGCTGGGACATCCTTTCCAGACTGCTGTTCCTTAATTACATCAAAACCCGTGCAGGCACTCTGTTCTTCAGAATTAAAAGGACTCTAATTCAGTTTAGTTCAATTTTCTTCTAAGGGTTGCTTTAATTTGGAAGAACTGTGTCCATTCAAGGCTAATGTGATTTAATGAATACATGCTAAACTCACAACTTTAGTTAATTTGGATTAATGTTCTCAATCATTCCTCTGTAGAAAACCCTTAACACATATGGTAGAAATGGTCAAGAAATCACAAGCATTTCAGTTCTGCTAATGATTGAGCTTTAAGATGGCAGGGACCTTTTCTGACTGCTGGAGGCTGGAGAAACATTTGGCCATGGCCAGTGCACTTCTCCCTGCTTTGCCCTCAGGTTCCAGGCTCAGATCTCCTGGGCCTTGAGAAGCATAGGAACTGAATGAGCTGTGGATGCCACACGGGTCACTGCCGGAAGGATGTGACAGTGGCCGGTGTGTCAGCATGAGGATTTAGTGGTACACAGCACGGCCGTGAAGGCACTGTGCTGCCGCAGCTCTGTGCGTTGCCATGGGAACAAAGTTGGATTCGTAATCAGGAAGCACATTAATGTGGACGTGAACATGCCGTCTGCTGTCCTCTTGGCCTCTTGCTTCCCTAGGCCTGGCTCGGTCACTGCTGGGAGAGGAGCTGCCAGGGAGGGAATCCATTGGGCTGAGGGACGTTGGGCTGGGAAGAGGGTCCCAGGTGGGCCTGAGAGACTGCAGTTGAGATGTTTCCTGCTCCTCATGGAGTGGAGAGTAACCTCTGCTGAGGTGGAGCGGGCACAAGGAGCCTGAGAAGCTGGCAGCAGGCATAAGTGCTGTGGGAAACATCCTGAGATATTAGGAGCCCAAGTGGAGTGCAGTGCTGTATGGTATGGTGTAGGCACTTGGGCAACACCAGCTGGCTAACTTGAGGGTACAATCATACCATCACAAGTTTAGCTAAGGGGCTGTACCAGCACCACTCTTCATCTTTATGGATCCAAGCTAATACTTCTACAGGGTACTGATGTTTTGTGAGGGCTTAATAGGCTGACCAGGCTTAGCTCTGGCATCTCTGACATGGAACTGTGGCATTACACAATCCAGGCATGCCTTTAAGAGCTCTGGAAATGTGAGGATGCTGTTGGGAAGTTGAAACAATTGTACAGTGTGATAAAAACCAGTTTATGCAGATATGGCGGAGCAAACAGATCCTGCCAAGCACATATCCTCTGCGATGACTACATCTACATAAGAAGTTGCTAAATGAAAGTCTTTCCAGTTGTAATACCTAGCCCATTCAATACCTGGAATGGAACACTTCAGGGAGAAACTAGAAGCTATAGCAAAATCTCTTGGTGTTTCAAGAAGCAGTAGTCTCATTTCAGAGTTAATAGGGAATGAACAATGCTGTTAAACTCTGAGGTGGTAGTTTGGTGCAAGCTGTAGGCTGGAAAGGGCAGTCCACTCACAGTCCTAAAAAATTCCTTACCAAGGCTCACCTTGAATGGGACTGGTTTGCATTGTCTGTCCACATCCCAGAAAGAGGGATTG